TCATCATTAGCGTAATGTGGAAGTTCATTATGGTGTTGTGTTTTATTGCATTGTTTGGATCAAAAGCAACATGTGCGGCCAGGCTGACAATATGGATGGTGAATAAAGAAGACATGGGAAGAGAGTTCGCTTTGCAGAACAAACTCCAACGAGGTCCAGTGCCTCCTTCACAACCTTCTCAATGCCACAATAGACTAAGCCCTTTTTCTCGTTCGGAAGATTATGATTCCCAATATGTTACTTGTCCTTGATCATTCCTCCTTCCTTGACCATGATAAGCCATATTTTTATTCTTTCTGTCTTTGGTTTATATCCGTATAAATTGATCCGACTTTTTTAAAATCGAAAAAGTCATACATACATATGTAAAATATGTTTTGCACATAAATTAATCAATTTTGTTGTAGAATTATTGACTTAATCATTGACGACTAATTAATTAATAGCGATGCGATATAAAATGTAATCTGTGTTTTGGCCTCATAAGATAACGTGACACTGAAAACGAAAGAATTTGACACTAGAAATTTTAAATGGTAATTTTAAGGATATGAGGATACATATTTACTATGTTCATGCGCTTGGAGAATATAGACTTGTGGTCGTTATATGACACTATGTACGACATAATATTCCACCGTTGATGCTAAAATTATAAATGACGTAAAAATCTAATGTGATGAGATTGCAAAAGAATATAGTCATATATATCGCTGTTTCTAATCTGATTAACTCACTGCATTCTTGTTTATTGCGTCGATCTAATCATTAGTTGTTCATTATATAACGGAATTTCGTCAAATTTTGAATTCTAATGTTGCTTCGGATTTTAGTTATACACAAACCATAAAAATTAGTATCAACAAAGTGTGAAAATGTCCATATGATTTCCAAATACGTGTGAAAAAACTCACGTTATAGAAGCGTACATATGTTCCATGCACGTTACTAAATTCGTTAAAATGATAATTTGTTGTGTTTCATACATGATACATTGAAAATCTTCCTTAAATTTGAGTGTTTTACATAATCAAACCGGTAACACCATTAATTTATTTTTTTCCAGCGTGGAAAACAAAACAAAAACAGTGGGAAAGTAACAAAAGGAAGCGAGTGAAATTTCAAAGGTAAAGCTGTATGACTAATTTAGTTTGTTAGCAAAAAAAATCATGTATATCGTGAGTTTATTGTGGGTTAACGACTTGTTTTGTTTGTTGTAAAAAAGAAAACAACTTATTTTGTTTCTTAATTTAGGTCGAATGCATCAGTCATCATCATCATTATTATTATCATCTTCATCATCGTACACACATAACTATAAGTGATCATGTTTACTAAGTCTAGGTGCAGTATTGATGAGCTTGGCTGCAGTGCTGCAGTGAAGGCATGTTAATACTTGTTCTTCTTTTAAGACATGCTTCTTCTCTTCCGCCATTATTTACCTGGCATATAAAATTAATACCCAAACCGAACAGAATTAAACCGATAGTACTAATTAACTGTTGATTTTGTCTACCTTAAATAATAATAATGAAAAACATATTTTTGATCAATTAGTTAATCGAATGCATATCCGTTTGATGAAATGGAGGCTGGAGGCTCAGACTATTTTTTGCTATATATATATCACTTCTCTTAAGGCTATGTTTATTGGAGGTTCTTAGGTGGGGTTCTTAGTTTCGATTAAGATATGTTTCTTAGTTTTTAACTAAGAAAAACTAAAAACCGATTATTAAATAAAAGATATAAGAACCGGCTCTTAGCTAAAAAGTGTAAAAAAAATGAACAAGTGTCAAATCATAAGTTAAGAACTCTACCTTAAAAGTATGATTAACTCTAAGAGTCCATTAGGGGCTCTTAGTTTTTTTCTATGATTTTTTTTTAAAAAACAAATAATAACCAATCGCAGGCCACCACGTGTCGTGGAGCCTATGAACAGTACAAGAACTTGGTTCTTGCTGATGAGGAGGAAGTGATGGGTTTTAAAAAAAACGGTGGGCCCTATCTCTTAAGAACCCACTTAAGAGATGGGTTAAAGGTGTTCAGTCAAAAAGAAAAAAGAAAGGCTAAAGTTGTCGCACATATTTAGAAAGGTTTGATTGTTGGACGTTCACCAAAATGGATAAACTTGGAGTTAATTAACAAACAAAAAAAATTCCCTTAAAGCATGATTAATCCTAAGAGCCTATTAGGGAATCTTATTTTTTTTATTTTTTTGTCTGATTAAAAAAAATGAACCAATCACGGGCCATCACGTATCAGTGAAGTCTGCAAACAGTACAAGAACCCAAAAAAAGTTGACTCTAACAGGAAATTAAAAAAAAAATTGATTCTTGCTTAATTGGTGGGACTCACCTCTTAAGAGACCTCTTAAGAAGTCGGCTAAATCATGATCTTAGTAAACAAGTAACACAACAGTAGAATTTACCGAACAAGGGTTATTTATATTTTATTTTATTTTTTTGCTGAAAAGGTTATTTGTATCTTCACGCCAATGAAGATATTGGAAGAGATGAGAACGTGAGGTCATGCCTTCACTGTGGTCCGACGACATAAAAATATACAATGTTCTCTTTTTCGGTCTTGCCAAAATCAGTGGTTTTCTGAGAGAAACAGCACCGCTGAAAAAGGAGAAGAAGCGTCTTGTTGATACTGGTTGTTTTCGTGAACATGTATGTAGATGTTGAAGACGAAGTCTGTGATCTTCCATTTGTAGGTGAAGTCAAAATAGAAGTTTATACTAAGACCAACAATCTTCAGTTGAGCTGGCAAAAAATTTCGAACCGAATTTAATCCGAATAAACAATACCAAACCCAAAGCAAAATTGATTAAATATCAGAACTGAACTTGATCCAAACTGAAATATTTTGGGCATCCAAAAATATCTGAATCATATTTATATACCTGATTATATTAGCTATATTTAGATATAATATCCAAAATGTATAAGATCTTTTGAGTTTTTCTAATATATTGTAAAGGAATACAAATAGCCAAAAGTATATAAAATAGCTAAATGATACTTAAAACACTAAAAATACTTAAAACTATGTGATATTTTCATGCTCATGCATGAATATGAATATTTATAAAGTAAATATATTATATTAATTGATTGATATTTTTATCTATGTGTTTCAAAAAAAACTTTTATATATAATTTATATTAATAATAATATATTATTTTAATTAGACATATGATTTTGGATATGTTATATTTTACTCGGTTTGATTATTTTTTGGTTAATAGTTTACTTTGTTACCATTTGGATATATTGGATGGCATAAATTTCTCCAATTTGACTATAATATTGTTTGGAAACGCATGAATGCATATCAACACTTACAATAATTAAAACATTTTATAAATTCTAAGTACTTTTATGACTTGAACTTATTGGAAGGTAATCTCGTAAATATTTTAAATAGTCTCATGCTGATATGTTATATTTTACTCGGTTTGATTATTTTTTGGTTAATAGTTGACTTTGTTACCATTTGGGTATATTGGATGACATAAATTTCTCTAAATTTGACTATAATATTGTTTAGAAACGCATGAATGCATATCAACACTATGGTGAAGTTATCGTTTGGGTATATTAATTGGATGGCATAAATTTCTCCAAATTTGACTATAATATTGTTTGGAAACGCATGAATGCATATAAACACTTACAATAATTAAAACATTTTATAAATTCTAAGTACTTTTATGACTTGAACTTATTTTCAATAGTCTTAAAATGAGAATTCAGATTTACTTAACTATTGTGATAATGAATATATTAAATTGCACAAACATAAAATTAAAAAACAAACTAAATATTAAAGAACATAATATTTTATACGGATAAAATATAATATTTTTACCTCATTAAAAATATATAGTGTTATTCCATGTAATTTGTTTTGCAATTATTTGATCTAAATAGGCTTATTGTAAAAAAAATAGTTTCCTTCTTCAATATCTCTTAAAAATAACCATTAAAATGTTATTTTTTAAAGGAATCATACTATATAAGTAAAATATAATATATAGATATCTTTTTCCTATAATTGCAAGATATTTATAGTCAACAAAATATTATGGAAGAATAAATAAAAAAATTCAAGAATACTAATTATAAACTATTTTTAGACAATTTGACATATCAGTTTATGTTACTTAATTATTTATGTAATCATCTAATAAAATAGTTAGATATAAAGAAAATATTTCTATGACTTTGAAAATATCTATTTCTGTTATTCAAAATTATGTTCTAATGAAAATATTTTTCTTTACTATGAAAACTATATTTATGAACTTTTATTATTACTTGTAAAGTATTTTTTATGCTATTCAATTTTTTTAAAAGACATATTACTATTTTGTGAACTTTTCTTTTAATGAATAATACTAGATATACATATACTTTCGTTTTTAAATTGGTTTCTAAAATTTATAATGGTTTCTTCCTTATTATATATGTTACTGGACAAAAATTAGAATGTAATTGGCATATATTACTAAATAAAAAATTATTAATAGTATTTACATATAATATTATTAATTCATTAATGGTACATCTGTAATTGACCATCGTAATTATTAACATGAACACGAATGTAAGAAAAAAAATTCTCAAATAATATTATACTAGTTGTTTCTCTGCATATACAAGTTTAATAATTTTATAAATATTTATAAATAGATATATTAGTTCTTATATATACAAATGTTTTCATCATAATGTAAATACTTTGGATTACATAAAATAAACTTGAAATCCTCATGTATACCGTATACATAAAGTTATATATAAATATATTAACAGATTATATTTTTTTAAAAAAAAAATTTGGATAACAAAATATAAATATTTACTCCGAAAACCCACGAATAGACCCGAATGGAATCGAATAGGTACCGAACGATTATTCCTAATCTACAATAAAAAGCCCACTATATTTTAGGCCCAACACTTTCATCACACATCTTGTTGAATAATTAATTTTACATTTAACATTACCGACGGCGGTGAACTCGAGAAGGAATTTTGCGATTTGCCGGAGAAGACAGATGGCGAGATCGTGCTCTATCTGGACCCCCGTTTTGATCTCACTTTCTCCGATCACCGGCGATTCAGCTAAAGTTTCCCGGCGACGGGTGATTTTAGCCACAAGTGTAGGTTCTCCTCAGGTTCGTACAACCGAGGCTGTTTGGTTTAATATATCGAATTAGGTTTTATTTATTTTCTGGAGAAAGATGTGTGCTCTCTATGTTAATGAATCCGAGGCTGTTGAGATTAGGTTAAGCTATTTGCGATCATGGAGGGACGATGATGATTCCAAGAAACTCAGCCGGTTATCACAGTGGCTGATCTAGAATTAACCGGAACGTTATCATGGTCCTAAGCATTTTCATTGAGTTTGAGCATATTCTTTTAAAAAATTTGAACTAATTACTTAAAGAAAATCAAAATTTAGTTGTGTTCACGTGACACTGTTCATCATGAACTACGTCTGCAACTGTGAATGAATCTTTTTTCAAGCATCAGCTTTATTTAGTTTGTGCAGAGACCTGAAGGAACTTTTGCCTTTCTTTGCTAGCCTTTGCTTGAAGCAAATATTAAAGAACCGCAGAAGCTTCAAGTCCTTGATTCCACAGATGTTTCCAGAAGAAACACTTTACTGTATCTAACGGCTGGAGTTCTTTGTGGGGCTAACTTTCTCAATGGTGAAGCTGCAGAAGCTCGAGTAGGGAGGAAGGAGAACAGGAGGAAAGCTTTAGAGAAGCTGAGAGGGAAGGCGAAAGAGTCTGAGCCCAAGTCAGGAGACGGTAAGAAGGAGAAAGAGTTAGACGCTGAAATATTTCCTCTTCTTCCTCCACCTCTCCAACCACAAGCCCTTGGACCTCTGACTGAAGCAAGCTTGTTGCCATGAAAGCTATCTCTTCTACTTTACACAATGTTCTGTGTTTAAGTATCCTAGAATTGAAAAAATATGTAACCAAGAAAAACTTGAAAATTCGAATGCTTAAGTGTTCTTGTTCAGTTGTTCAAAAAAAAAAGGTGATCTTGTCCATGTTTGTGATCGGCCTTTTCATCCTGAAGCTCCAGACCAATAGTAAGCGAAACCAAGTTCTATCAACACATATAGTCAAATTTTGGAACATCCACATTTGTGATATCTCATCAAGTTTCTCACCACAAAACTTTTGTATGAAAAGAGTTAAGAAAAGAGAGAAAGCAAGAGAAGTTAGTTTGACAAATTTCCTAAAATTTGTGACACTCCTAAATTATGTATTTTTTTGGTTTGATTTTTATTTCATATGAAAAATATATTTATCTAACTTTATCAATAAAATAATTTTATTGAAAATGAAATGTTGCTAAAAGAATTTTTTTTGCCCATGGTGCAGCAATTTGAAAATTGTAATATATTTGACATTAACTTTTGATTAATATACAGTGATTGGAATTTTTTACAAAAATGTATTCTTTGTTGTTAAATTGTAGATTTATGAAAATTTGCATCTGGTTTTTAAGAAGTGTGTGCTTAGCACTTTTAAAATATTTCAGTTTTATAAGTGTCTGCTTAGCACTGGCTAAGAACAGTCAGTTTGCATATTGATATGATTATCAATGATTGGCAATTAGGCCAAGTATACATAAAAACCTATAAATTATTAATCAACCAAAAACCTTATCTCTCCTATTTTCTCTTCTTATCTCTCTCTACTTTCTTTCCATAAATCTAATTCTTTTTTTTTGGTTATTTGGTAAATAAACCAATCACTGATTTGGCTACATGTTTTTGCCTTGCCTCTTTTACGTAGTTTTACGTTACAATAATATCATTGTTACACTATAATTTTTAGAGACATGTGTTGTTTGTATACTCTTAATGCACCACTTACAGTTAGTAGGACTCCCACACCTGGTCATTAGTCCATAAACCACATTTTCTACAGTGGGTGTGCGTTAATTTTTTTGGAAATTCAAAATTCATGTTTACTAACCATATAATCACTACTTGACTTTTCTTCTTATTTTAGCCTTGCTAAGATAATATTATGTATAATTTAATTATATACATTATACTTATATATAATATCATGTGAGTGAGACTAATAGATATATAAAATACATTTATATATAATAATCTTTCTAATCCTAAGATCAATTCTTGTGAAATCTTAGACAAGTTAAGATTTTTAATATTAAATATTGTATATATATATATATATATTGTATACCAAATTTAATGTGATATAGCTTCAAAATGAATAACTCTATAGTAAAGTCGTGTATTAATAGGAATATTTTGTTCCCCATCATCAAAACTTTCTTATAACATTTTGATTAATTACTACTAACAATTTAATGTTGCTGTTCTAAAGGATGTTGTTCCCAATGTTAAAGAAAAAAGTCTGTTGTTGCTTTCTTTTATTTGCATGTGGAAATAAAAGAGCAATGCTTGATATTTGCATATATCAATTCGATGGGCTCAAACGTAAAGGGATGAAGCGAATTGGATATGTCAACTTTATTTAATAGAATTGTGTTCCACTCCCTCTGTTTCAATTTGTTATATATTTTAATTTTTCACACATATTAATAAAACACATAATAAATGCATAAATTTTTGTGATTATCATTTTCCTATAAATCTAAACCAATGAAAATCCAATAAGTACAATTATGTTTTTTAAAAATTGTAATTAATCATTACTATTTAAAAAAATATATACTTTAAAAATGTAAAAAATGTATCTTTTTAAAATAAAGATTTTTTTCTAAAACATGTAACATTATAAAACAGATGGAATATCATATTTAGAGTCATAGGGCAATCACTAATTTAATATTAGGCATTATTATTTGGTAAATTTATGAAAATAATGACATCCACAAAATATGACAATAAACAATAAGATATAAAATAAAAATAGAAAATATGATATATTAATAGTTTATATATATATATAGTTTAATTTGTATGTTAAAAGTGAGTTGGTGGAACTAAGGTTGTTCAATCCGATAAAAACGGATCATTTAAAATCGAACCAAAATAGAGAAAGTGTGTGAATTTGGTATATCGAATAGATGTTGTTATTGAAAACCTATGGTTTGGTATATAAACCGATTAACTAAAATATAGTAGTAGAACTATATGTAAAATTATATGATATACTTGATAATATATACATAATTTATCTTATTGATATGTTATTTATATTTAAAATGCTAACTTTAATAATTTATTAGTTTGATTTGCGTTCAAAGTTATTTTTTTATTTTTATCATATTAAATAAAATATAGCTTTTAAATATGTGTGTAAATATTTAGTTATTTAATAATATGACCGTATTACTAATTTTCTTATTTTATTTTATAAGAATTAGGATAATTATTATTATTACCTTAACATGCTTACCAATTAATTTAAATACTATAATAAAATAGAAAAAAATATTATGTTTTAAAACTGAAATTTCTTTATTATTTAATAAAAACTGATATCTAATCATATTACGTAAAATTTACAAAATTATAAAATATATGGATTTTGGTATAAAACTTAATAAACCAAAAATTGACGCTATATAAACCGAACCACATCAAAGTAGATACGGTTTTAATATGGTATTTATTTTTATAAAACCGAAAAACTGGGAAAAAACGAATCGAAATCCGGATTGAACACCCATAAAACAACCTTCTTTAGGTAGATTTTTAGAATGATTCCCTAATAGTATAGATATTGTTATTTTTCTAGAAATTTGAATTAATGTTTCTTGTAATACTAGTTTGATTGAGATTCGAAAGATAAATACGCAGTACACAAAGCCGACACTTCAGCTTTTTACTTCTCAAAATAATAATGTAGATTGCGATTTTCAAAGTTCCATCGACACAACATTCACTAGTTACAAACACATGAGTTCCTGTGGAAATGAAATTGTAAATTTAGGCATAATATTCTATACATTAATGATTTTGGCCACCAAAACACTAAACCTTTTAGTAGTATTTGGTTTCTTGTTGTTTGTATACACACGCATGGCTGTGTTATCCATGAGAAAAGTGGTGAAATGATAGATGTGTGAGATGTGAATCTTATGCATGTTATGTAGTTTGGAACGTTGCATCTAAATGTAAGGAGAACGACCCTACAACCGGACCAGTGTTCGTGGTTCCTCCAACATAGCCCATCACCTTTCTCTCTCACTAACCCCATTTAATTAAGACTATCTATTTTATTCGATTTTTGTTTTTGTAGGTTGTGGTGCTGCTTTTTCATTTTGTTTGCTGCACTTTATTCAATCCCTAAATTCCAAGCATCTCGTTTCACTCATAACATACAAGAAAGTATTAACACACAGAAGCATAAATGTCAGGAAATTAATAGATTTTAACCTTATAAATTACACGTGTAATATGAACTCCTACAATGACGTTAAGAGCAAGAGCCAAGCTGTCTTGTCTACCTTCGATGGTCGACTGTTATGTCTTTTTGCTCATCGGAAGGATCTTGAATAACAAAAGTGTTCACCGAAAATTCGAAATGATATCAGTGTCCTTTTTAATTATTTTTTGTTATGAAAATTTTGTAATATAATAAGAGCTAGTTAATAATTCGCGTCTTGTGTAAAATTAAATTATTATTATTATTATTATTATTTTTTATCATCAACTATACAGACTCATGTAGACTCTGTGAACCAAACCGGGAGCTCTGTATCCATGTGAACAACGAAATGCGGTTGAATCCTGGCTCTTCTTGCTAGGCTATCCGCTTGGGAGTTCATTGATCTTTGTACATGGATTATTGTCGAGCTGATAAAGCTTTCTTTCAGTATCTTAATATCGTGGAGATAACTTGCAAACGTTGGTCATTCTTCTGGTTCTGAAACCATCTTCACCAATTGAGAACAGTCCGTTGCAAATAACACAATACTGACGTAAATTTCGCATGCTCTCCATAGCCCAAATGAGTGCCTCCATTTCCGAATGAAGAGGTGATAGGCTAGCTCTCACATTTCGTGCACCCCGTAAACCCTCAAATCCCTCTAACGTGCTATACCACCCATGCCCATCAAATTGATCATTTTCTTTCCATGAACCATCAACAAAACACCATCTTCCTGGAATGGTCTGTAAAATAGCATCTGTCTGTTGTGGAACAAACCTCTGCTCTATTAGTAACTGCGCCTCCTTCCACAAAGTCGATTCTGTTTCAGCGATTACAAGTGTATCCTTCGGTTCAATATCCAAAGAGCTATAAATTTTGCTATTACGCGCTTTCCAAATGTACCACAAGATCCATGCGAATTGATGATCTTCCATTTTGGGATTAATCCTCCAGAATAAAAAATCCATGTTCGCAAACAACGAACACTTAGGGAAATTATGTGGACTAAAGGGGATTTTCGAGAGAGCCCAAACTTGTCGTGCTGGAGGACATTCAAAGAACACATGGTTTATTGTTTCCTCATCAGCCCCACATCTATCACATCCGATATCTCCTTTAATTCCTCTGGCTTGTAGATTTTTCCGAACTGCGATGCAGCCCGATAATAATTGCCATAAAAAATGTTTCATTTTAGGAGGACACCTAACTTTCCAGCAGAACGCTTTCAGGACATCCACTGTAGGTCCATAGAAAACACTTCTAAAGATACTAAAGGAGTATGAGGTAGTTTCGGGTCAACTAATTAATTTCGAAAAATCTTCAATCCAATTCGGGCATAAGATCGGAGAGGAAAAGCGACAGGAGCTAAGAGATCTTCTTGGTATCCAAAATCTCGGAGGGATGAGGTCATACCTAGGACTTCCAGAGAGTTTAAGTGGATCAAAGATTCAAGTATTTGGGTTTGTGCAAACTAGATTAAATAAGAGGGTGACAGGTTGGACTTTTCGATTTTTCACAAAAGGAGGAAAGGAAGTGATTATTAAATCCGTGGTAACAGCTTTACCAAATCATGTGATGTCATGTTATCGGTTGCCTAAAGCTACTGTCCAAAAGCTTACGGGGGCAGTGGCACAATTTTGGTGGAGCCCTGGTGGGAGTACACGGGGCATGCATCGGAAATCATGGGACAAGTTATGCCTGAATAAAGAGGAGGGTGGTTTAGGTTTTAAGAACCTGGAAGACTTTAACACGGCAATGTTGGGCAAACAATTATGGCGTCTAATT